CTGAAAGGCTCTTAGGGTTGGTGTGTGGGGGATCAGTTTGTTTTGAGTGAGGAATGGACAGAAAATCTTCGTTATTGATCCAGAATGACTTCACTCCTCTGGGGGAGGAGGAGGAGTATGTGGTGTGGTGCCCTTGGAAAGGGCTGGTGTGAGGGTGTGAGTGCCGGTGCTGACTCTGGAGCAGGTTGTCGGGAAAGCTGCTCCTGGTGTGTTGTAGGGCTTCGAGAGGTGCTTGCAGCAGTATCAGAGGCACCGGCAATAAATCTGAGCCCAAGTCCCAGAGTTTGGGGGATGTCTGAAAAATTTCACTGTTGCCACTTTGTCCTATCCCAAAGCCTTTTGGAGGTCTAGTGGAGGGTGTCCCTGCCCATGGCAGGGGGGTTGGGACTAGATGGGCTTTGAGGTCCCTTCCAACCCAAACCAGTCTGTGATTCTGTGATTCTACGGTTCACTACACAAGATCGTCCCTATGTGGGGAGCGGGGATGATGGCCAGGGTGCCCTCCTGGCTCCCAGTTGGTGCCACTGGCGGCTCCCCGTGGCGCGGGGGGAATCGGGGGCGTGATACAAGAGATGCTCGGTGGAAAGGAGCGCCCTGGGCAGTGGGAGTCAGCTGTGCTGGGACGTGCGGACAGGTCCCGTGTGGAGAGCGCGTGGCTGCCCGGAACTGCCGGCCCGGGGGGTGCTGGGGGGGCTGCAGAGGTCACCACGGAGGGGAACGGCGATACTAAGCGACGTCCCTGACCCTGTGCAGGGGCCAGGCTGCTGGCAAAGCCCCCTCCGAGCTAGAGCAGCGTCTGTGGGGTGGTTCTCGGTGCTGCTGCCTCGGGAGCAGAGATGAACCTGACGCTTCTTCAGGAATTCAGCCCAAGGAGCTGGCGGTTCCTAGGAGCGCTGGGGCGAGCGTGCTGGCGCTCAAGCCTGTCCTACGCACCTTGGCACTGCTGCCGAGAGCCTTGTAGCTCCTTCGCACCCAATTCATACCAGCGAGTGATAATTTTAGTTATTTCAAGTTACGTGAGTTAGAAGTAAATATTATTTTCACGACTTTGTTTCCTACTGTGGTGGGAAGTCAGTCCCGCGGTTCCTTGCTGCTCGAGAGAACGCGCAATGGAGCGAGCGGGGATCTGCTGAGTGTGAGTGCTGAATCCCAAGGGATCTCTGAAGGATGGGCTTTTTGGGGGGAATGCCCGGTGTTTCCTGCCATCAGGCCCCTGGCAGCAAAGGAGTGGGTCCCTCCCAGGATCCCTGGCCAGCTGTGCGCACATCTGGACGGAGCATTTCACAGAGGTGGTGGTGCGGTTGCCCCGGTAAGGGTTCCCCAGGCACTGTGCCCTCTGGAAAAGACCACTGCAAGGTTTCATTTTGAAAATGCTTTAATAAGGAAGTGTTGACAACACCGTTTTGCAAAATGTAAAGGTAACTATACAAATTCTTAATACAAAAAGAATAAATTAAAAGCAGATCTTTTTTAATTCTGCAACTTTTTCTACAACATACATATTTTTCCTTGATTACAGTTGAACAGAATCCAGTAAAATCATTTTCCATGCTCTAAAGTCAATTTCAGGAGAGACCTAATTTTTTTCTTTTTTTTTTTAATCTTTTTTTAAACTAGAGAGTCCATTTTACACAACTTGTAATAAAACTATTGACATTAATATATATGTAAAACTTTACATCTAGTTAACTAAGCAGTAACTGGTCATCTGATAGCACCTGAATGGAGATCGGCTATGCCTGAAACTAAAACTAATACAGAGTGAAAACAAATTGGACTGTTTCAACATTTTCAACACTCGACTGCATATAATATCATTTAAAAATAAACCCTGCCTCCCAGCGCGGCCCGGTGCGCAGACCGTCCACCCGGCTCCTGGCTGAACAGAGGGAGCGTCAGACGTGAGGACTAAGAACACGATTGTGGCTTTATGTCAGATGGAGCCTTGAAAAATAAAAAAGTAAAGGAGGGGTTAAGTTGGTAGTCAAGTGCTTGTATATAATAGCTATGTATATACCCCTCTGTGTTATACTTAAATATGTTAATCTCATATGATTAACATTTTATGTACATTTGTGTTTAATTGAATTGAGCTAAACAGTAAAACCTGTTTTACTTAATCTGTCTTTACTACCAGACTGGCTGCTCACGTGTGCCTTGATTGCAAAACAGAAAAGCAGAACACAAAGCAAAACTCAATCCGTTTCTAGAAAGCTTTTTCTCTACTCCAGCCTGTTTGCAATTCAGGCTAACCATTTATTTATTTCTTTTTCCTAATTTCAGGGCTGCCACCTTTTAACCTTTGCTGCAAAACTGCAGATCTGGTCTTGGAGGAATTACTGTTTCTTCCTGTAGTGCCCAGAGGCCTCATAGTGCCGCTGTTGTTGAATTCTTTTTAATTAAAAGAAGGTACACAGAAAAAAAAAAAACCCCGAAACAACCCAGAACCACTTACCAGGGAAATTAAAAAGAAAACAGACAGTTGCTCAGAGCCCCTAAAAATCCGTGGGCTAAATTACTTGCTGCAGCTTAATTTGGTCCTTATTTAATCCTTTCACTTTAGCTACCGAATCTTATCGGTAAACGTCACTAATCGGTGCTATCTCTTATCCAGCTAAAAATCCAATTAGGAGCTTGAAATAATTCCCATGTTAGACCCCAAAGCACAAAGAGATGGTGAAACCAGCATTTTGCACATCCGGATAACGGGTGCAGTCTCACCGCTGTCTGCTCTTCCCAGAGATGGGTTACGAGGCTTCAATTACTGTCAAAGGGGTTGTACTCCTGCGGCGATTCTTCATGGAGGTCCAGAAGCACGAGGCTTGCACGGCTACCCCCCCCCGTGGATTAAAAATGTTGCTTTTTTTTTTTTTTTTTTTTTTTTTTTTTTTTCCAGAGGGATAATTCATTTAGGCTTCATGTGTGAACTTGAAAGAGTTTCCTTCCCGGCTCTGGTGTGGATTTCCCTGGACAAACGACAGCCTCTGCTGCCCACCGCTGCCCCGTCTCTGCGAGGCCACCTCCCCTGCCTGCCCAGCGATGCGGGACGGCAGCAAGCGCAGAGAACTGAAGCAAACGCTTCTCACGTGTGTTGCAGAAAGGTATTCGCGTGAGCCGCTCGCATTAATTTTTAGCCCCCCCCCCATCATCTTTCCAAGCCTGATTTCGAAGAGCCCATTCTCTTTTAAAGCCTGGAATGCAGTTTTCCAGCAATCTTAATACCAAAAGGTGTGGCAGCCCCCCAAGTCGCGGTGTTTAATTTTCAACGTTTCGCCCTACTTTGTCTGGTAGACGCTGTTGTTATTCTTGGAACACACACACGCACACACACACTCGCACGTTTTTTTTTCCCCCCCTTTTTTTCTTAAACTAAAGCTAACTTCAGTTTCTGCTTTTCACAAAGTAACCCCCTCCAGCCGTTTCTTTTAATGCCTTTCCCATAGGAAATCATCGTTTGCACGCACAAACGGGGGAAGGCCGGGTGCCTCCCCCCATCTAGTGGCAATAAAAACAGCATAGCACCGCAATGAAGACTAGATGTGCCAGCTTCAACATCCACCTAGATTGTGCACTTGTTCGTTACAAAAGTGTCTTTGAGGCCTTTTAAAGTTCCATGGCTTGACATGTATAAAGCATTGCTCAAAAGTATGTGTAAACTTGCAGCTCCTTCCATGACGCTCTCGCACGATTCCTTTTGGTATCAGCAGGCAGCTCTCACTTGTTTCCAACACCTAATTTCGTCGTTTCTCTTTTCTTGTGGTCGCTTCTCGCAATGGGAAGATTCGCCTGGTCTGCTGGTTGTTGGACCCCGCTGCGGAGCCTTTCCCTTTCCCGACAGACCGGTTCTCCCACGCAGCGGTACGCCGGGTGACGAGCCCTTTGCTACACTGGTGCTAATGAAGGGAAGATGAGTGGAACAGATATGTTAATGCAGCTTTACCGTGTCAATTAGATTGCGATGTGCTTTCCCTTTGATTTCACGTTAATGCTTTGTGCAGAAATCGATTAGAATTTATTGGCTGTGTCTGTTTGTAGAAAGGGTTTGGGGTTTTTTTTTTTTTGGCAATTTTTATCTTCATCAGAGTATTAAAAACCAAACCAGCAGGACCCCAACCTCTCTATGCATTGCCAGGCACAGAGATGCTCTGAGTAGCAGTACTTGCCTCCGCTTTAGATAATGCCTTTGTAAACCTCGTTTGTCCAGTTGAATAGTAGCTTGTAGACAGCGATGCTGTGATACCAGCCCAGACCTCCAGTGTGTCTTCAGCACATTGAGTAATTTTACTTGCACGCAGGTGGGCTCAAAGCGAAGGAAATGCCGTTTTAGGGAGGTGGTCTTGTCTGCCATTGAGTTAAATGAGAGAGATGTTCCTGTCGCAAGAACTTGCTGAGCAAACTCACCCTGCTGACGTTGGTGTGGCAATCTTTAGCAGTGCAGATCTGATTGTGAGACTCTGACGCATCTTTGAAGTGACGGGATTTTGCTATTTCATAACAGATGCTCTTCCAGGACTATGATATCCATTTCTCAGCCTCTGTC